GTTCTTCAAGAAGCACTGTGCAGCATCAGTGTATTTGGAAGATACCGATTGGATGCTAGTGCTTGACGCAGATACGGGTATTGTGAATCCGAATCATTGCATTGAGGAATGGATCGATACCAGGGTTGATCTCATCTTCTATGAACGATTCTTCAATTGGGAAATTGCATCTGGAAATTACCTTGTAAGTTACTGTCTTCATGATATTATCGCATATGCACTGTTTCAACGTTGTTGTTCCTTCAGACTCGTCTATTATGACCTGAAGTCGATAGATTCGAAGGAGTGAAATTATGAGATTGTAGTTCTAAAGTATCACACTGAGAAAGACCTCATCAATCCGTTATTTCGCAAAGTTCACCCGGAAACTGAACATCGATCTAAATACTTGCTCAAAATTGGTATTTAACTCCAGTTCGAGATGAATTCGCTGAAGAATTCTACGATAACGATTTTAGGCTAAAAACACACCATTCGCTCGGAACTTCTTGAGGAAATGGGCCGATTGGCAATATATGCAANTTTGCCATTCAAAAGCTTAATTTTGACAGTGTTGAATCTTCAGATGCACCTTCTACAAACACTTTTACCGCATGCGAAGCAATCCATCAAAAACTGCGATAAAATCTGGCATAGAGGAACTGATTATAAAACTTATATGGCGTTTGTGACTTGCGTTAAACTTTCACTTGGTTCGTCGTTAGCACAGAAATTTTGCGTTCAATACTGCTCAATCAATATCGTCATAATTAAGAGATTCATGACCACATTAATCTTGGAGTATATCAAAAATTGCTCGTATTCAAGCAAGCACTTCTCCAAGACCTGTTTAAGCAGCTAACTGATGTCTGTTTTGCTTGAACAGTCTATTTTCGACAGCTCTTTACGAGAAGTACTACAATTCAAGGAGAGCGACGACTCTGGCCTGGAAAATTACGAATTCTGAGGAGGGCACACGGTTGGGTACGAGACGGCTTTATCACTTACGATAAGTGGTCTGATCGAGACTTCATGTTGCACGGTTGGAAGCAGCAGAACATCAGTGAAAACGGCTGGGAATCACCATTTGAAGTGAGCGATTCATTTAAGTTGCGTAAATTAACTTATTTTTATCATCTCAGTACGTGTATCATGCTATCAGAGTAAGA